CAGAATTTTTCCAAATCGTATAAAAATATAAATCGGAATATATATGCGATAAATAAGGCATTATTCGTCATGAGTATATCGAATGAAAGAATCTTTGGTTTCTCATGCAATTAATTATTATCAGCGATAGGGATGAATGAAATGATTTTTTTTAATTTTTAATATATTTTATAATATTTCCATTTTACATATTCACTTGCAGTTACATTAAAAAATTAATTGAGGATACGAATGTTGGCGAAGAAGGTTTAAAGCTATTACAGTATTGCAGCTGGGAAAACCCATTATTTTCACGTGCCGTTCTTACGGAACTATTATGGCAATGTGGTTTTGCGTACTGTCACGATATGCGTCACCATACCGATCTACTGCTAAACATATTGCTTATTGAGGATTCATGGCAAAATCATCGCATACATAATGCTTTAATTGGTGTGGCAGAGGAACGTGAGGGCTTACTTGAGACAATACATAGAGCAAAAACTCACTATCAGAAACGAGCGTACCAAATTATTAAATGTTTAACACAACTTTTCCATAAATCACCGGTAGCTTTGCAAATGTTAAATTCTAATGCAAACATTGGCAGACAATGGGTTATAGCCGTCGAATGGTTGCAAGATGAATTGGATCGTCAGCGTGGTATTGGTTGTCAATATAATGCGTATTCATGGTCACCACCGGCTCAAAGTAATGACAATACTAACGGTTATATGTTAGAAAGGTCACATTCGGCTAAAAATACTTGGTCGTTGGCTTGCGAATTATGCCCTGAAGAGGTGATTAACGAAGCCAACGATAATAATATTAAATTAATTAATTTAATAAAAAAAAATTTTCTTTTTGTTTTAAATTAGGAGCAAGAGGAAACTAATGAATCTGATTTAGAGCCTAATGATGAAAGCCAAAGGCAACAACAACAACAACAACAACAACAACAACAGCAATTGCAACAGACACAGAATTCACAACAGCAGCAATCAACCAAATCGCCGGATGATATGCAAAAAGATCAACATGTCAATCATATAATCGATTTAATGCCTACCGAAGGTGGTGAGTCGCAGGCGGGCGAAGATTTAATATTTTCAAATGTTACAAGTCACAAGATTGCGCCATCTGGAAGTTCAGGAGATTGGAAGACGAACACGTTCCCCGGCTTAGGTGAAAATGTAGATAGCGACGAAACCATTGCTCCAACGAAAGGATCCACGAGTTCAGAGCCTCCCACAGAAACAAATATTAATGGTTTAACTAGCAGCTTAAAACAAATATCGCTATCACCAAAAACGGTGAGTGGCGGCGAATAGCTTTTTCAAAGTATTTTTTTTTTTTCTTTTTTTGTTTTGTTTTTTGTTTTCCTTTTTTACTTACTATGGAAAGGAAAAATGGCAATATTGTTGTTGTTGTTCTTTAAAAGAACCCAAATCGTTATTCTGTTATTGTATTCTTGAGTATGTAGTTCGTTTTTTTTTTTTCATTTAGACCTTTTAAATTTTTCCATACATTTTTCTCTCTCTCTCTCTCTCTCTCTCTTTCTTTCTTTCTTTCTTTCTCTCTTTCTCTCTTTTTCTTAGTCGTTTACTTAAATTTAATTAACTTTTTTTTGCTTTTAAATTACTTATTTTTATAATTAAAAAAAATAATAATAAAAAAAAAAAATTATTTCAATAAAATGAAAAAAAAAATTATTGTAAAAAAAATAAAGCGTACAACAATGGGCAACAACAGTAAACAACTACAACTCCAACAACATCTTCATCAACAACAACAACTACAGCAACATCAACTACAGCTACAACAACAAAAACAACAACAACGCGGTAACACTTCAAGCCGTTTAGTATGATTTGCCGCCAAGTTAGTTTTCATTTTTTGTTTTTTTTTTTTTTTTGTTTGTTTGTTTACATAACATTTTGAATCCGGATCGCAATTTATTCGAACTCTACTATTCTATTCTTCTGAAAGTAAAGCATAAGCGCACTTATCTTATGTTTGCTTCACACATACATATGCACCAACTATTCGCTTCATAAATTATCTGGCTTAGTAGTTAGTTTTGAATGATTGCAAATTGCGTAGTTCGATTCGCAAGACAAATACTCTTTCCATTAATCGATCTTCGTTTTTTTCCTACTTCCCAACTGTAAAGTTAACAAAATTATCGACTTTTTTCAACAAAATATTATAATATTTATATATATAGGTATAAAAGTATACTTGCTAGAGATCCGGAGAGCGTAAGGTAATCACAAGCCAATGAAACAATTGGGCGTGACCTAAATTTTTTATACAAAATATTCAATCCTTTCAAGCCGCACTTAAATAATCAACGAGATCGCATTTATCCACTCATAAGCTATTGTCTTGTATCAACATTAACAGCTAACTGAGAGATCCTTGTCTTTTACTGCCAAGTTTCAGTTCCTTGTTTTATTATGAATTGTAGTTTCGCTTATCTATGAAATGAAATAAAGATCGGTCGCGGAAATGCAATTTTCGACACATGGATCCTAAGATAAAGAGTTAATTCGTTGGAAAGGCTAGATGGCTTTAGCAAGAAATCGATATATCACACGCTTGCTGGAACTGAACAAAGAATTCGTGATCAGCTAGATGAAAGATCGTTAATCGCATCGAATATGTAAACAATTTTAAGCTTTCTTACATCGCAAAACGATAGGCTGAATAGAGGGAGAAAAAAATACCATCTTCCACTAAATATCTTAAAAATTCTTGGATTGGAAATAATAACTTGCTTGCTAACTGCCCTAGAATTTTCTCCATCAAAACCATCAGTTGTGCAAAAAAAAAAAAAAAAAAAAAAAAAACGAAAGGTATTACATAACCAAAATAGGAAGAGTACGAAAAAATGGAACGTTACATAAATATTAAAATGCTTCAAAGAAGATCTATAAAAAGTGACAAGCAAGATGGAGAAGCGTCCGAACAATGGGCGTGGACTAGTGAGGACCTTTGGGAGGGTGGGAGAGTATGTCAAATTTGCGAAGTCCGGAAGCAAGTTTCGCAAAGTATACATATTCTTGACTGGCATCAAATACTGAGTGGATTTAAAAATGTCCGTCTGTCCGCACGCTTGCTTGCATTAGAAGGCTGCATGGACTTCATAAAGTATATACATTCTTGATTAGTAACCGCCGTAGATATGTTTGTCAGGCTGTCTGTTCATGCGTCTATTAATTGCTGTGGTAAACATACTCAAGGTCGCAAAAATGGGTATATCTGCTTCAGATACACGATATAAATTTCGGTTTTTATTCTACAAAAATGGAAAAAATCAGCCACGCTCAACCAATGTCACAGTTTCTCGTCATTTCTCTTTTTTTTAGGTCTTTTCTTATTTAGAATAACGGTGATGGGTGCAAAACGATTTTGTTGCAGCAAAATATAATTTTCTTTTTTTTGTTTTTTTAACTTATGATGTGTTGTTTTATTTTACTGCCAGAAGAACATTGGAGCCGTACAAAAATTTGTGGTCGGAACTTCGAGAAATGCATATTGAGGAAATATGTTTAGAAAACTGATTGTGCTCCTCCCACAAAACATCATTGAATATAAAGAAAAAAAAAATTTCCGCTAAGAATTTGTAGTGCACCTATTAGAAAAATACAATCTAGTGTTACATAAAAGTTTAATGTAAATGCATGGATGTGATCACCCAAAAAAAAAGTCGCAAGCCATCAGTGTGAAGAGTATATAAAACATTTCGACAGTAATTAGATAAATGGCAAGAAAAGTATTAAAGAAGAAGTAAAGAAGATTTGTATCTTAATTGGACCTAATAGGATTTTAATAGTTTACCTACTAGGTTACCACTAGGCTAAGATGAATTTTTATTATTTATTTTTTTTACTACATACATATAATTTTTTTTTTAACAGAATTTTCTTTATATTAATCATATAGCGGCTTGAATGTTTGCTGTATTAGTTTCTGTTAGAATAATAAGAAAAAAAAAAAATGTTCGTGACAATTCACTTTAGATACACAAATATCACGCTACACGAGTCACAGCTTTTTATTGTTTTTCTTTTATTTTTTTTACCAATTTTTAAAATATAAACATTTAAAGTGTAGTAATAAAAGAAATAATGAGGAAAGTGTAATTCGTTTTAAGGCGAATCGTTGATATATTCACCATTTCAAATCAAATTAAATATATTTATATATATATATATATATATATATACGGAAAATTTATGGGTGTGTCGGTTGGTCGATTCCCTCGGGAATGTATCAAATTTTAGATAGCATTCTCTTTTGCTTTTTGGGAATTTGTTCGTGAACCGATCAGATGGCATTTAAAAGAGAAATAAATAAAAAGATATATTCATTTTGAGGGGATAGGGGTTATTTTGATATCCGTCACAATCGCATGGGTAACCGAGTAGATGAAAATCGTGACTACCAAGTCAATGTTCGTGGATTCAGTTCTCAAATCGGCGACTTTGATCGTAACTATAGTGAGTGGTCGGTCGGCAAAGACATAACACTGTTCGATTGGAAGTGTACCCTTTAGACTGCAGTCATCTTCCTATCTTTTTCTTTTTTCTTAGTTATCCCTGGCCGTGTTAAATCGATTGGAGACGTGCCCTGAGTGTTCAAGACTTTTTTTTTTTATTATTAAAATTAATTTAAAAGTATTAAATTAAATGAAAAAGTGTTCAAAAAAAATCATCTCAAGTTTTTTTTTTTAATATGATGATTCATTCAAAATATGGCTCATATACAAGTACAAATATTTCGAGGACAGACAGGGAATGGCGCCGCAGCCTGGGGAATGTACATCTGATCGCTAAATGTTCGCATATTAATCTTTTCACCTGGTACCTTATTTGTTAATAGCAGATATTTTCCTTTCATTACGTTCGGTGTTATTCCAAACTTTTAAAAAACCAAAAATAAATGTAAGGATTTCTTTTTTTTTTTTTTTTTAATAAATTTATTTGCAGTTATTATTCCATAGTATTAGTTATAAAACATATGCGCAGAAAGAATTAAAAAAAATTATTTAAATAATCGCCTTTGTCCTATGACTAACCATCGGAATCGCCAATTGGTAGTATAATCAAAAAATGATGCTTTTAAGTATGAGAATGAGTTTCTTTTAGAAGTCTTTGATGGAACCAAAGAAAATCAAAGTTTATAGTAACGAGCTAGGTGGACAATGAGTAAACGTTCAGCCAAAGAAATGAATATATACGATACTAACAGTATTCCTTTCCCAATCGACCTGAAAAAGAATATAAATTGAAAAGTTTGACGATTGTGACCGAAGGATTTCGTAGGCAAAGATTAGCAATTCAAAGTTTAGGTAATCGTAGGAAGAGAATTTCGAAAAGGGACAAATCAAAGGAAACTTTAACATTAATAACAAAACGTGTTATATGGCTTGAAGTTTTATTACTATACTTTAGAGAAAGTGTGCGCTACCCTTTTAATAAGAAATATTTGGTTGACCTGTAACCAACAAATCAATGAAATCAACAAACAAATGTAGGAGTGAATATTTTAACGGACGGATGGATTTCGATTTGTAACCGAACATTAATTAAAATACACTTTAATATTACAGACAAAACTGTACGTGGTAACGATTAGTAGTAAGTTCAAGTCCCCTTTTAAGGTTTACTTTAATATCTTTTACAAATTACACGCTACTAATTTAATTTAAGAAATATTCAACTAAAAGTGCAGGAGTGATTGTTCTAATAGACGCACGAACGAATCAACTTATGTCCAAAAGCATAAGATTTTTGCTTCTGGCAAGCGTATCATGAAAGGAGTATTTACGATCGATAGAAAGCCCGATCAGTAAGCAAACGTCAATTAAAAATTCCGTTAGAAAGACGAACTATAAGGTTTAGTTCGGTGCGGTGTGCAGGCGATAAGGTCGATATCTGCCGTTGGTTGTTAGTTAGAACTCGTGTGCTGAACAAGGCCCCATACTCAAACTTGGTCTATGGTCGTTTACTTAGTATAAACATTTACCTTTCGCGTGCAAAACGACAGACGGGCGGACGGAGACAAGATGACTTCATCGATAATGAATGGACACCGTTAAGAATATATATATATGTCATCTTTCCCCGTCTCAGAAGCGCACTGAAGCAGGAAGCAAACAGACGAACGGGAATCTGAATTTCGTCGACTGACAGTTTTACGTTCATCAAAAATATGTATATACGTATATTTTTCGAAAACGAATAACAAATATAATAGGTCCCCATTTTGCGCTGGTGGGTATATCAAAAAAAAAATAAATAAATAAATAAATGCATTAAATCACTAAAAATGTGTTAATCTTACGCTTTTACTCACTGAAATGCTTTGTGTTTTCTTTTCAATGTAGTTTAATAGTTTTAAATTGATGTAGTTTTATTAAATACAAATTTTTTTTCTTTTTTTCAATTTTTTTTTTCTCTTCAAAATAGTCCGTCAGCGGCGTCACTTGTGAAACGTCAGCAGCAACGGTTAATAAAAAGGATAACGTTGATATAAATATAATACATTTGTTAAATTATACAGCAGCAGCAACAACAACAACAGCAACAACAACGATGACTGCAATTACAACAACAATAAATGCCGTAATTGATACATCTGTAAATATAACGACGACGACAGCAACAACAGTAGCAACAACAATCGGTAATAATAGCGAACAACAACAGCAACAACAAGTGTTAATATTGAGTACTGACACACCGCAACAACAACAACAACAACAACAGCAACATACCACAGAATCAACAACGTAGATGAAGTTTAAAAATATTCAAAACTTAATTTAGTATAATAAAAAATATATATATATATAACAAAGGAAACACGAAAGAAAAGAGAGACGATCTAAAAAAAAAAAACAAAAAATAAACAAACAAAAATAAAAAATAAATACAAAATAGAAACAAAACTCATCTATATATATATATACTAAAAAAGGAAAAATTAAGAAGAGAGACAAGAGAAGAAAAAATCAACAACAACAAGAAAAACAAAATGTTTCTTTTTTTCACACTAAAAATTAATATTATTATTAAATAATTATTATTTATATAAATTAAAAAACACACACAAAACAAACCAATAAAAATAAAATGCCCTAACAATAAACTAAAATAATTTAATAAAACAAAAAAAAAAATAAAAAATACACATTACCAATCACTTATAAAAAAAAAAGAAAAAAACAAGGAAAGAAACAAGACGCTCTTTAAAGCGTACAAACCAGAGAAAATACATTAAATTATAATAAAACAAAATAAAAGAAAATGAAAGATTAAAAAAAATAAATAAAAAAATAAAAAAAAAGGAATTTATACTTAAAAATTTAAACAAGTTTTTAAAATCTTTTAGTAAAAAAAAAAAAATTATAATGGGGGGGAGGAACAATAAAATGAAAAAAAATAAAATAAATAAATAAATAAAAAACAAGGGACAAAAAACCAGTTAGTCTGCGAATGTAGTCAGTTTTCTCACTGAATTTTCCTGTTTTCCTATCGTTTTTTTTCTCATCATTATTGTATTAATTAAGAAAAAAAATAAAAATCTCACACTGCGACAGAAACTTAAAAAATTAATAACTTTTCAAAACATTTTTACAAAAACTTTTCTTCCCTTTCACATTTTATTCCTTTTTAATTTAAATCACAATCCTTTTTTTTTTGCATGAATTTATAACATTTCTAAAAATGATATTAAAAAAAAAAGAAAACGTAAAAATAAAAAAAAAAAACTTTTTATTATTTTTTGTATGTAACATAATATAGTAAAACTGAAATATTAAAAAAGTAATATAAGAACTAATAATAACAAAAGTATAAAAATTAATTTAATTATGTTATACAAATATGAGAAAGAAAAAAAACAACAATTGATTACTACGCTTTATAAAAAAAAGAAAAATTAAACTATAAAATATAAAATCTTCAAATAAAAACCACTCATATACCCTACCTATTAATAATAAATAATAATAATAATAATAAATAATAATGAATAATAAATAATAACAATCACACCCAGTTCATAAGTGTCGATAATATAATAAAAAGGAACAAGTTCAGCAGTTGATATTCCGTTTGAGACGAATTTTTTCAATGCCCATCACCAGCTTTTCCTCCTTTAACGCTCGATATTGCTTATCATATATATTTTAATTCTGATTTTTAGAAAATTTGATTTCAAAGATAACTCTTTATAATCTACTTTTTACTCATATATGAATTTTAAGTAAATTGCGAGCATAAAATTTTTGAAAAATTAAAATAATTTAAATAAAAATTATTTAGGTTTTAAACTCATCATTCAAAAACAAGTAAAAAAAAAATACAATGGGTATGGGCCTTCGTTAGTTGTCCTATACTGTCGTATTCCGTTATTATTCGATTTATCATCAATGGGGTTCGGCCTTGGACGGAGAAGAGTCTCTCAATCAAACTGCAACTAAAAACAAGAAAACGGACATACGAACAAACAAGCCTAAATTGATTCAGAAGGTGATGTAAGTGGTATAACAAGCTTACATTGCAAATGTTCGAAAAAATGATCCGATGTGACGCGTTTTCAATGGTTTTCGTCCTTGGGCAAAAATAGGTCTTTAAATTGAATTTCATTAAAATATCTTTGAAGTTGCAATCTGAAGCTTAAATATAAGAAAATGGACATACGGTCATACAAGGTTAAATTGGTCGAAATAGTGGTTCGATCCGACACGTTTTCACTGGTATTCGTCTTTGGACGAAAACACGTCAGTCTATCAAATTTCATGAAAATTTCTTAAAAATTGCAGCTTGATTGATCGATCGAATACAAGAGAGCGGACATACGGACAGACAAACTTAAGCCGGCATAATAAAAGATGATGATCAAGTCTCAAGTTTTTTTGGATTTTGTGTACATCTGCACAAACTTATTCCAAGCGTGTACCGACCGCTGGGTAGTGTGGGGTATAATAATAAGAAAAGTTGGCTTTTTTTAGAAAATAAAATTTTTGATTTATTTTTTTAATACCGCATAGGTAATTTTTTCCAACTCGGATATTAGAAGTGTGCAAAAACTTGCAATAACTAGCGAACAATGACGAGATATAAGATTCGGTCAAACTATAACGAGAATTCCTGTTTTCCTGAAAAACCAAGTCAGAGGAAATTATTGTTATATTATAAAAAACAACTAAGAACATTATAGTTGTGGAAGGCCGATCATTAAATACCCTACATCACATTGTCTAACACAATCCTTCATTTATTATAGAACAAAAAAATTATATCTTGTTTTTATATAAAGGCGCATTTTTCATGGGCGTATTTATGTGGAAGCGGATCTGAAACCGCAACCTAATGCTCTGCAAGTTTAATCCTTACATAGAGCAGAATTGAAAAATATGCATAAATGGTCCAAATTTCGTATAATTCAATTTTCTATGCAATTACTACAATGAGTCCATTTCCATAACCACTTGTTAAAAATTAGATTTTCTTGCTTTACAAATGATAAAATTTCGTTAAAATGCTTAGGGTAGGATTCAAAAAAAAAAAACGGAGATGGTCCAAAATTGATACAGTTAATTTTTTATGTTAAATTATGATATTATTATGATATAATTTTCATCGTGAAGTATTGAAAATTATACCTTTTTGTCATATGAACTTCAGTTTTCGTTATATGAGATGCGGTTCAAAACTTACCCCATCTGGTCGAAAGTTTTCATACCAATTTACAATGTCGAAATACTACTACTTAGCCACTTTTGCCGAGAAATTTTGAAGATTGCAATTCTTTTCTCTACTTCCGGCATTTCAGAATAGGACGTTATATGTGGGCGGGTCGAAAAAGTGAACCGATCCGAAGCATTTCCAATAGCGTTCGTCTTTGGGTTAAAACAAATCGTCAAAATATCTTAAGAATTGCGACGGACAGACAGGCTTAGTTTGATTTAAACAATGAATCTGATTTGATTCGTATAATAAAAGTTGGGTCTATCTTAAGCCCTTCTGCGTGTTACATACGTGCGCACTAACTTAACACCACTGATGTAGGGTATAAAAATAGAAGTCAATAATAGCGGTATTGTTGTTCCATCCGCACGACCATACTCGACCCGCGTTCAAGAAGCTACAATTTTTATTTTCTTTAAAAAATTATTCGTTCATCGATAGCTATTTGGTCTCTTTCGAAGCAATTCCCCTCCGATATAACGCATTTGTATCAGCGTTTTTTCCAATTTTGAAAGCATTTGTGTTATACGCTTGGTGGTGGATTAATTATTTTGGAATCAAATCAAACAAATTTTCGGAATTCTAGTCGTCGTAGACGGACAGACTGGTAGATGGGCATAACCAGATCGGTTTCGCTATCCAAGCTGATTGCAAACATGTTTAGGTGCTTTTTGAAGTATTCGATGCGAATAATCCTCAATGCATTAAAAAATAGTGTGTAAGGGATTTACAATGGTGGGAATAAACAATAGAAGGATAGATGTGGAAACTTGACTCTTTTTTTTTTTGCCGATATCGACCGAATTGTAGGGTGAGCGAAAAATAATAATAATAATAAAAAAAAAAAGAATTATATAAGTAAAAGAAAAGATCGAAAAAAATCAATAAATGTTATAAAAAAGCAAGAAGAAATAAAAATAAAAAATATATTTAAATAACGTTTTGAAAGTTTTTATTGGATTAAAAGCCGCTAAGGAATTCATGCGAATGCCAAAGGAATTTATTAGGTATTTAGGCAAAAATTTGGATCATTTTTTCACTTGAAAAACGCATATATTGTGGAAAATCGGTATAATATACAATAATTTGCGGACCAGCGTGCCAGCCAATCCATGCTGCCTCGATCTGAACAAATGATAATCTGGGAGCACCATATCTGGTAAGTGGACTGGGTGTGGCAAAACTTCCCATTCGAGCTGAAACAATGTATTTTGCAAAAAGTGTCAAAAAAATGGCATTTACAGTCAATTGCGTTGGACCCAAAACCAACAATTGGGATATGATCGAACAACATCACCATAAGCATTTGAACTCATTTGGTGGGTTTCGGCAGCAAATTTAATCAAATAAACAAAAAAAAAGTAATGAAGGTCGATGCAATTTTGAGCGCTCCTTGCGATTGGCGTCGACATACGCTGAATAACTCAATAATATTAAATGGAAAACTTTGGTTTTATGTAGAGAAACGTCAAAGCCATCGAATTCAGCCATTATGTACACTGGTATTTCCTCTTTCTTTATGATTTTTATCTATAGAAATTGCTGATCAAAACCTTTACAAACGTTTAGTATAGGAAAAAAAAATTATTTTGAAAAATTCTGCTTGTCTGTCCGTCTCCCCGTTTTGTTTGTCATCATCATAAGCCTTTGAACGTAGTTGATGGGCTTTGGCATAAGATTTTTTCAAATAAACGAAAAAAAGTAATGAATTTGGAAGAAGAAGAATTTTGAGCACTGAATAAATCATTAACATTAAATGGAAAGCGTTTTTTTTTTTTTTGGGTAGAGCAAGGTCAAAACCATCGAATTCAAACGTTATGGACACTAGTATTTCCCATTTCTTTATCGCTGATCAAAAATTTTGCAAACGCCTAATATTTACGGTAAATCTAGGCATAAATTCGTGGCCAAACTGTCAAAAGATTCCGTTCGTAGTGTTACCCTCTACTAACTGTAGTAATAGATGGTCAATAGATTGATTTAGGCGTCAAAAAACTGCAATTTCCGAAAGCCACTACTCTTCCCATCTGAAGGCAAAAAACCATGACGCGGTAATTGCTTTCAGCCGGCGGTTGATTGTGTCTCTGAACGGTATTTTCATTCTTAAGATGGCGCTTAGCGTTGCGCGATTACGAAATTTCCGATCCTGTCATAAAAATATACCTGATTGTCTACCAAAGACGAACGGTGTACATTGTAGATTTGATTGTCGTCGAATCAATTGACGAATAAATTCCGCCAAGTTTTGCGACAAAGCTGAAATATGGCGTAAACGTCACCTTGATCGACTAAGAATGCAATGTTAAAAAAAGGGTTACCTACCATAATGAGAAACTAAAAAATTCTCGAAAAAAACGATAATTTTTTCATATTTTCGTCTATTATTTTCGATCCTATTAAGAAATATTTCAGGAAACCTGCAACCTAATCTTCTTCTAATCCATCCACGGGTTTGATCGAAAAATGGTCCCGATCGGTTTATTACCGCTCTCCCATGGCATGATGTCCACCGCAATTAAGTTAGAGTTAACACACTTAGCTTTCCGTATTCTATTCTCTAGGCCGGTTTTTTTGCCACCCATATCGCTGGTATTATTAAGAAAAAACTAATCTACCGGATCGTCATGTCCACCATATTTAGTTCATAATTGACGCTTTTTTAGGGAGATAATATATCTTCATTTGAGGAATGTATAAAATAGTTTTCGGCATTATGTCGGGTTTACCTTTTGATTAATAAGCGTAAAAACCTAAAAAAAGTGAAAAAAAAGACTCACTTGTAACCTTGTCTGGGTAGGGGCGATTTTGTTCCATTTTTGCGTATATACAATAGAGTGTTTCGTAAAGTAAATGTGGGAATGTCGGTCTTCTAACTTTTATAATTTCCGAGTTTATGCTGCACTGTGGGCTTCTGCTCCGACCAATTTGGCTGATTTTCAATACCAACCTGCATGCAAAAAGTTACAATGTTTCTATCAAATTCGAAGTCGATATCTCGATCTAGAAGAGTGCCAAAAACAAACACCAACAAAACGGACAGGCGTTGCTTAATCAATTCAGAATTATGTATACTTGATCAAGTATATATATATGTATATATATATACTTTATAGCGTCTCTGAAGCTCCGTTTTGGGGGTTATATCCATTATGAAGAAAAAAACCAAATGAGTATACCGCCATCTTTAAGGCGTGGGTAGTTCTAGTGTTAATCATCATTCATCGAGTTGGTATCATCTTATAGGATCTTATGTAGTTTTTCTATGAATAGTTGTTCAGTTTCAGATATTTTATTAATATATGTGCAACAAACTGATAATATATTATATGATTTTTTTTTTAATCATATATACCAATATTATATAACAGAAAATAGGTATTAAATTATAAACAGCCAATTTTTGTACTGATTCTTTGCGTAAAGAAAATGAAAACAACCGGTTTTCTTAAAGCTCGAAATAATTAGGAAGAAAAAAACAACAATAAAAAAAAATAAATGCATCCGTTGACAATCAATAGATTCTTCTTCTTCTTTCTAGTAATAGTATTACTTTTCATTACTATCCTCCTCAAAAGTAATGACAGCGGCCCCTCTGGCAACATTAGAGCCTTCAATGCCGCCAATAGATTTCACGATAGCATCTTTGGGTGCCTTCAAGCTATGCTCCATTTTCATGGCTATCATAAATCAAAGAAAACAAAAAAATAATTAATATAATCATCAATTGGATCGAAAACGTAATAATCACCTATAAGTACAGCCAAGTTATCACCCTTTTTGACATGATCTCCTGGCTTAACCAAGACTTTTTCCAAAACACCAGGCATAGGTGCTATTACTTTTGAGCCCGAACCGCCACCCATCTGATCGATAGTTGTACTTAAAAATTTCGGTTGCACTAACTCGAACTGCATTTTGCCACTCTCTAGGAACACGGTTACTTCATCAGCGGCAACGTAAGCGTTAAACGTTGAAATATTATTATTAATATTTGTGCGAATTTTTAAACGTTCACCATCCTCAACCCGTTCAGCTTTAACCGTATACCAAGATCCATCATCAATTTGGATTTGGATGATATCGTCATTATACTTAACAGAAACTTTATAAACTGTTTGAAGAATATAATTATTGTAATCAAAAATTAATTTAACAAGTAAGAAAGTTGTAGTCAAGCAAGGTCGACCATAGAATAACCTACACCACATTGTCTAATTCTTATTTTTGTATGAAATTTTACTATTGTAAGTCAGTTTTCATCACTTGAGACTTTTCTACTCTCCAAAAATCCTTATTAGGGTAGGATACAAAAAATAGGCTGAGATGATCCAAAATTGATACAGTTAATTTTTTTATGTTAAATTATGATATTATTTTGATATAATTTTCATCGTGAAGTATTGAAAATTATACCTTTTTGTCGTATGAACTTCAGTTTTGTTTATATGAGAGGGGGTTCAACAATTTTCCCAGCCGGTCCAAAGTTTTCATGCCAATGTAGAGTGCCGAAATACTACTACCTAACCATTTTTGCCGAGATATCTTGAAAATTTCAATTGTCTTCCACTTACCGACTTTTCAGAGTAGGTTGTTATATGAGGAGTAGTCGAAAAAGTGAACAGATCCGAAGCATTTTGAATTGCGCTCCTCAGAACTCAGATAGACATTAGATGGACAGATAGACAGACGGGCTTACATCAATTCAGATTATGATGCTGAATGGATCGGTATAATAAAAGGTGGGTCTATCTTAAGTCCTTCTGGATGTTACCTACGACCGCACTAGCTTCATATACTCTTTATCATAAATAGTGTAGGGTATAATTAATTAAATTAATTTCAAACCTTTTTCATCAATTTTCAGTTGATATTGACGTGTTAGCTCATAATTTAGACGCAAATTGGGCGAGAAACAAAATGGATCATTCCTAGATAAATTATTGCATTGAAATGCTTGCAATTCGTTGAGTAGTAAAGACAAGGCCGCCTTGCAGAGATCGGTATCATTAATTTTCACCGGAGGGAACAATGTATCGAAATGTTGATCGATGAATCCGGTATGAACATTGCCAGCACGAAATTCGGAATGATTTGCCAAATCAATTAAAAAATTGATGTTTGTATCCAAGCCAGAGATCTATGGGATAATTGGAACTGGTTTAACTTGACGTAAACTTTTTCACATTTTTTCTTACATGGTACTCCCTGAGGCGAGCAATTAAACTATTTAAAGCTTGTGTACGATTTTCACCCCATACCACCAGTTTGGCAATCATGGGATCGTAATGCACCGAAACTTCATCGCCTTCACGGACACCTGTCTCTACACGAACTAGTTCATTCGGTTGCGGTGTCGCCAAATAATGCAATGGGCCAGCACCGGGTAAAAATCCTCCTCGAGGATTTTCCGCATAAATGCGTGCCTCGAAAGCGTGACCTTTACGAGTTATTTGTTGCTGATTAAGAGGCAGCGGTTCACCTGCAGCAATGCGTATTTGCCACTCAACTAAATCGGTTCCGGTAATCATTTCAGAAATGGGATGTTCTACTTGCAAGCGAGTATTCATTTCCATGAAATGAAAACTCAAATCTTCTTTGTCCATTATGAATTCAACAGTACCAGCTCCTACATAACCTACCGCTTTGGCGGCTCGAACAGCGGCTTCACCTAGGGCGCGGCGCAAATCATCAGACAAACCGGGCTTTAAAAGAAATTTTACATACCTTTAGAATTTTTTCAAATTAGATAATTCATTATCATTTTACCGCTGGAGCTTCTTCGATAATTTTTTGATGTCTTCTTTGGACCGAACAATCTCGTTCCCATAAATACACAGCCTCACCGTATTGATCGGCAAATACTTGCACCTCGACGTGACGAGGTGAACGCACATAACGTTCCAATAACACGGAAGAGTCACCAAATGATTTCTGTGATTCGGTTCGCGCCGAATTCAGAGCAGTCATAAAATCTTCAGCCTTCTCTGCGACACGCATACCTTTGCCACCGCCACCGCGTACGGCCTTAATCATTAGAGGAAACCCTATTTTTTCAGCTTCCGCCTGTAGGCGATCGTTCGACTGATCGTCACCATGATAACCATTAATAATTGGCACACCAGCTGCCGACATAATGGCCTTACTCGTACTTTTTATGCCCATGTCTCGTATAGCCGAACTTGGTGGCCCCATAAAAATCACACCCTCTCTTTGACATAACTCCGCAAATTCGACTGATTCAGAGAGAAAACCATAGCCGGGATGTATAGCTTGACAATCAGCTTGCTTCGCAATATTAATTATTCGGTCAGCCCGCAAATACGATTTAGCTGAAGCTGCCTCTCCCACATGATAAGCTTCATCTGCGTATTGGGTATGCAAGGAATGCTCATCTGGATCGGAATAGATAGCCACCGTACGCACACCTAATTTGCGAGCTGTCCTAATAACTCGACAGGCTATCTCTCCACGGTTCGCAATTAAAATTTTACTAATCGTTTGCACTTTAGGCGATCTTCGAGTAGAAGTCTCAGTAGCATATCTTCTGCAATGTGGTAAACAATGTTTATATAACTTATGTGTTCAATGCATTTGGGCATGCATAAAGTGCTTTAGTATGTTTTCTTATAATTTATTTTGTTTTCTTTTTTCGATAAGATATAAACAAATAATTGAGGAATTATTTCACTGTTTTTTATTATTATTATTATTACCTTAAGCTTTTGGTGTTTTTTAAAATTAAATTGAACATAATTCCTATTATTTACTTTACGTATGCAGGAATGAAGTGTACAAGAAATTCCATCGTTTTACATGAGGAATTTACTATAGAAAGCGAGGGGGAGAGAGAACGAGAGAGAGAGAAAAATAATTTACTCTCAAATTGTAAGCAGATGATCTTTCTTAGTACCAGAGTATACATCTCTGAGATATAAGAAAGGAGCAACTCTGTATGGGTAATTATCGTTGAGGGTTTTTTCAACGGTTTTTATAAAATAAAAAAAAATTTCACTCTTTAATATGATAATCGCGTACACGCCATGGGATATGCACCAATTAATAAACATTTCTTATTTATGGGATTTTCATGTAATAAAGGAAGAACCAATAAGTACATTATAGCTGGGCAAGGCCGACCATTTCATACCCTGCACTACTTCGCTTAATGGCGTTATTCATTCATTTTGATAATAATACGCCAATAATTAAACATTATTTTATGCAATGGCGCACTTTTCGTGAAAGCCCCTATATTGAAGCATATGTGAAACATGACAAAATGTGATCCAATTTTAGCAAACTTAATTTATCTTCCAGAAATTTTATTCTATTTCAGTTGCCGTCTTAAAAAGCTTTAAATCAGACATTCTCTCTATGGAAAGGTTTGGTTTCCATTATAACCCCTATGTTTGCTTGGGACCTATGTGAACCTAATTTCCTATTACTAAATTGCTACTATTGGCCATTTTTCATCATAAAATACTAAAAATTAACCCTTATTCCGAAGCATTTACTATGCCTGAGTAATTTTATATGAAGTGGGATTTAAGAAATAGACTCATGTGATTTAAATTGGATCCACTTAATTTTTATGTCAAATTACTTCCATCAGAAGAAACTTTCATCAGTACATTTCCTCCGAATCCTTAAATGCGGTAGTTCCCATAAGTTTTGCGTGGTCCAAATTAGACAAGATCGATGTCTTTGCCAATTTATTATACTATTTTCAACCAATTTGTCACCATAACCAACCCAAATTTTGCATAACAATTTAGAATGTCGAAGCACTATTACCCAGTGAGTTTTCAAAATTCAAGTTTTTTTCCATATAACCACTTTTTACAAAAAGATGTTCTGTGGTGAGCAGTCGGAAAAGTAGAAAAGTGTTCGTCCTTGCGTCAAAGTACGTAAGCGAACTAAATTTCAGCAAAATAACTCGAAATTGTGACCTATAGTTTAAAGACACAAATACATGGCTAGACATCACACGGACAGGTAAGCTTAGAATCTTTGTTTCAGGGTCAATTTTTGAGTCGATCGCTATAATAAAAAGTGAATTCATCCTAATCCCTTTTGGGTGTTACATACGTCCGCTTCAGCTTGATATACCTTGTGCCACCATAGGTATAGGTTATAAAAATATGGAAGGCAGTAACCATAATCTGATATAGATTGATATCAGCCTTTCTGATGTTTTCCGATGTTGAAATATGTATTGGTTATGTGCACACACAGTGCAGGAAGAGATCAGTCCAGTAATCTTTCCCCTACCGTGAATATAACATCAACGGATTTCTGGTTTTCCGTTAAATTTTATCATTACGAATTTATTTCGTAGGTGTACAGGTATGTATACAAAAATTTAGTTCTTAGGTGTACATGTATAATAGGTATACCGGAAAGTTTGGTCAGTTTGTTGAACTGAATCAATCCTTCTCGCAATCTTCGGAGTTGTCCAAAAAGGATTTTGCTCAATCGTGATCTAGACAGTATCGTCATCGACTAAGGAAGGACGCCACAGAGCGTGGCTTATAAGAAAGCTCGAAATTACTTATTTGCTATTTTTCAATTATCTGTATCTCCTATCAGAAATTGTACCGTCACCAAACACTTTCAACAAATTTCTATACAGCTCCGTAGCATTTCTTTTGTGTTGGAATTCATACAAAATATAGTGACGTAAACAAAATTTATGGGTAGCCGCATTTCAATTACTACTAACATAAATTGCCGGACAGACGAACAGACATGTTTAGATGCATTCGGAATTTGAAACTGACCAAGAATCTATATATACTTGGTGGGGTTTTTGAAACTTGTTTCTGCCACTTTTAAAGGTATGGAAAAGAAATTGAATTTCGATACACTAGAATATTGGCTAGGCGTGGTCAATTTTGTTCATTCTTATAAAGGGGTTACAGCATCGCTCATAAAATATGCTTTCAAATTTTTGTACGTTTAATTGCTATAGAAAAAAAACAACTCTTCATTCCTTTCGAAAAACAGAGCTCAGTTTACGTGACGCTGTGGGCGTATCCTTCGACCGATTTGATCCATTTTCAATACAAATCTGCGTGCAAGAATTTCTAATGTTTCTGCCAAATTTAAAGTCGTTAGCCCTATTTTTGCGGGCAAGAGAATGTTTGCAACCGACGTAACATAAATGGACAGACAGACATCCTTTAGTCGATTTAGAATTTGATGCAGGTCAAGAATATATGTAGTTTGTGGGGTCTCTGATGCTTATCTTCTGGGCGTTGCAAACGTTTTGGCGAAATGAATATACCCCTGCTTTTCATGAGCTTATTGAGTAAAGTGCCTTTATTTGCCGGCAATTTGCAGCAAGCAACCAAACAGGGGATATATGAGACCGGTAAACGCATTTTTATGTAAAGAGAATAATAAAATTGAAAAGATATTGTAAACATATCAAGAGAATTAATTGCAATTAATGCAATTTTGTTTTGAGTGACGGCAAACATCTTAAGAGAAAATAAAACCACAATTTTATTGGTTAATAATAAAAATGTTAAGAGCGTTCGTTTCAATCTAATACGAGGCTCTAAAGTTAATTATAGCTTTCTTCGGTTTATGAGAAGAAAGAGAGTGAAGAGATTAACACTCAATTTAATTTCATTTTCAATTTTCCCTCTCTCATTGTTTGCCAAGAATTTATTCTCTTGTGTTACTACGATGTCAATGGATTTTGTGCAAGTTTTATTTTGTTGGCGCATTGATGCCGAATGACTATCGAGAGCTTACTTAGTTGATCAGTTAGTAACGACAATTTGGTTTGTAATAAACGATTAAACGGGTGTATTTTAAAATCTAAATAATCTGAAATAACGTGGATAACAGTGAGCATAGCGCCATAAAGTGGATAATAGCTGGTGCGTGCGTGCATTTCTATTAATACGAATGAAAAAATTTTTGTTGTTGTTTTTTATTTTTTAATTAAAACAAATAAACGAAAAACGCGAACGTATGTAAATTAAAACAAATAAGTTTTTATTTATGTTTGTGCGATAGAGGGAAAGAGAGAGAGAGAGAGGGAGAAAAAGTTTCCTTTTTTTTTTTAACAACAAAAGAAGAAGGAAAAGAAGTAAATTAAAGTAAATAAATGTGATATGCAAAAAAATTTTAAGAAATCCTCAGATTTATTTAATATATAAAATAAGTTGAAGAAAAAAAGGAGAAGAAGAAGAAAAAGAAGTGCTTAAGGAGATTTATGAAAGCATCAGCAGTCGAGTCGGTTGCTTGTTGTTGTTTATCGTTTTTTTTTTGTTTTTTGTTTTTGTTTTTTTTTTGCTTACACTTCAACTCATGTGCTTATTTTGAGGATTTGTGACGTGCGTAGGCTATTTTAGAGAAAGAAGATCACCGACAACATAGAGTAAAACACCTTAAGCTAACATAACGTGTAACTAACATATGCATGCATGTATGTTCATATCGAGTGTTAGTTGTACATATGTGTGAGCTTGTGTAAGTAAATGTGTGCACCCATATATATAGATAAATATATGGATAAATATAAATGCATCTGTGCTTTTGAATCTCCACGCGTAAGTGTGTATAAATGTGTGCATTCAAATCCAGCAGCTAAAATCAAGTAAAGCCTTCGCTAACGCGCACTAACTAACTAACAACGTTTACAAATTATATCGAACGCGTTTTTAAAATTCGCATCTGTGCATCCACATCGCAAAGTATATATATATATATATATATACATATTTGTTTGTGTATATATACATACATATATACATATATATACATATATATATATATAAATAGAATAGGTAAGTAAGTATTTTGTAAAGAACTCTTTAATACGCGTATTACGCGTAATTTTAAATTTTAAATTAATGAAATTCTTTTTAAGTTGAAGGTTTCTTGGTTTATTTTGCTGAAATTAGCAAATAAAAAAATACCTTGGACTTAAAGAGGGTCATATAGATGCCTTATTAAATGCCATATAAACAAAACGAGCTAAATATTATTAAAAAAACACACACACACTCACACAAAATGAATTATTGGTTACAATCATGTTGTTTCAAGATTTTCAACCAACTCGGTCAAGCTTAAGAAAGGATATATATACATATATATATATGCCTTCGAACTATCCTATCAGCAGAAGGGGTTAGTAATCTTGTATTTAGATGAATAAGAAAATTGGAAAAGTATCATATACTGATGCCTTCCATTTAAAAATTAATTTCTTTGTTGTTTCTTAAGTTATTTTAATGAATTTTTAAAGTTTGTATAGTTTCTTCTCATAGATTTCAACATCATATCCACATTTTTATATTGTTCCCATTGTGAGAGAATAACTTTTGTCATTTACCTCACCATGCCATAGCATTTACTTATAACCTTTTTGGATAGGTTCTACATTGAATATGTAATTAAAACGAAGTGAAAATACTATAGTGGGAGGCGGCTCAACATTAAACAAACGATATCAATTCATTTATCATACATATAACAACCTTTCAAAATAAAGCTTTAAGGAGTGGTCGAAAAAGTGAACCGATTGAAACTATTTTCAAAAGCGTTCATCCTTGGTTTAAAAAATGTCGGCAATTTCATCAAAAATGTAAGCTGAATCTAATAGCCAATCAAATAGCCAGACGGGCAGAGAAACTTCGATTCAATAAGTGTTTCCGAGTCGGTCGGCATAAAACAATTGGGGTTCATTTCACATCTTTCTGGACATTGCATACATTCGCATCAATTTAATATATCAAGAATAATGTTGAATATAAAAAAAAGAAGGAATTTTCCATGAAGAGACTTTTTTCCTGGATATAAT